ATATAAAATCATACAAATAAATAATTAAAATATTAAAACTTCGTTTATAGGTTTTCCCAAATTTAAATTTTCTTATTAAAATTACGTAACAGAAATATAAATTTGCATGTTTCGTTATATTTTACAATTGATTTCTCATACAAAATATAAACAAATAATTTTGAATATATTAAATTTTCTAAATAAAATCACATAAAAGAAGATGTATAAAAACAATAATTTATTAATAAATTATACTTTTATATTTTAATACAAATAAAGTTTGATTATTTAAATATTTTAAGATGTACATTTTAATGAAGATATTAACGTTTAAAATAATATATTTTTGCTAAATTTATTATAATATAAATGAGTTGTTTTATTTTTTTATAAATGCAAATAAAATAAAATAATTTTCCTTACCTATATGTTGAAACAACTACAAGATTCTTCGTAAAATAATAAAAAAAAATAAATATATAGATATATACTGTTTATATAAATTTTTGCTTTCAAACTATATTGAAGATTTTTATAAAATATATTTTTATTCCCCTAATTCAAATTTTTATTTTCAAATTTTATTTATTCAACTGATAAATCAATGACAATGTTACAATGTTGTAAAACATGCATGGACATTTATATTGAGAAATGCCGACTGGTTTAGGTTCAGTACATTTCGAGTCAGAAACGAACTGTAGTAGTATTATTATTGTTATTATTGTTATTAACATTTGCAGGATCAGCAATATTCAAGACATAGATGTATGTTCACCAACCGAGCGTTTCTCTGTATATATACTGCCGCTGTAGGTTTTCCCTAAAAGGAAACAAAATCAATCATACAGGAAGTATTTTTCATATATTTTTCTTTCGTTATATCTAGAAAAGAAAACAGTTTTGTATAAAATTACTAGAATTTCAATACTTCACTCTTTTAGTAAATTCACATAAATAACTTTTATTTCTTAAAGGTATTTCTATGTTACTTTTCAATTGTGACATTAATAAATTATATTTAATAATATAATTAAATGGTTAAAGATAATGTAAACGTTTTTTAATAAGTTATATAATTTTCTTTGTAAAATATGTCAAATCTGAACTAATTAATTGATATTAATTTTTATTGTTTTCCTGTTTAACCTTAATAAACCTTATTAAAATTTGTTACTTCTATGTAATAAGATTTTTTTAGAATAATATTAATGTCAATATAAATAAAATTTATTATGAATATTAAAAATCTTATTTTCTCCTTTCCTTTTCATAATTCTGAATTTAACATTACTATCAATCATTTATTTAATGTAATTCTTTTATTCAGTGCGCTCATTTTGTTGATGAAGTACTGCTTCAAAGTAAATATAAAATTAAAGTTTATCTTAGTATAGAGTCGATTTAAAATTAATTTTTAAAATTTTTATATTGTAAATATATAAAAAAGAATGACTTGATAATTATTTAGCGTAATAGCTGTCTGACAGGATTGGAGATTTCATCAAGTTAGTGCTATTGACTGAATGGAATTCAATCCAATATCTTACGCTACGGATTTTTGTTTGTCGTGTCTTGATCCGCTTTAATATATTATTCTTTATAGATAAGCTATAGCCAGCATAACTTGTGTTCGTTCATCTTTATTTATTTTTTTGAAACGTGTCAACAGAATGTATCTTACAATTTTGACAAAAAATAAAATAAAATAAACTTTTCTGACGTAAATGTAAACTTACATAATCTGTCACATTCGGCCTCTGATTGATTCATCCCGGAAATATCGTCTTGTCTGTTGTAAGGTTCGGGGTCCGAATCGCTGCTCGAATCCCTATAGGACGACAGAAGACAATCCTTTGGTGGTGTTACAGGTTCCAGTTCACTGTTGTATTCATTTTTATAATATGTAGAAATATATAAAGACCATCAACTCCTACCCATCTCCATCTTCTCTCCAGTGCCTTTCTCTCGTTCCTTTTCCAGTTCGTTCTCTATCGGGTATCTCATAAATGGCTTCGTTATCTCTCGAGATTCTTGTCCATATACCTGCAAATGTTAGTGTTTCCCTTTCTTCAAACAAACGTAACTGAAACAATTACAAGAAATAGCATTGAAACGCACGATAACGCCAAAACGACTATTTCTTGCTTTTTTTTATATTTTATTTTTTCTAGATAATTACAATTTTGGATTTTTGTAATACAATATCTTCATTTTAATGAAGATAATAATGACTTCCGCGTTTTAAATATTCTAAACAACAAAATTATATATAATTAATGGGAATTTTTCACAAGTTTTGCTTTTTAACGGAATAATTAGTTCTTTTATTTTATCATTATGCAATTAAGGATATCGAATGTACAGAAAATGTTTATAACTAAACGAATATAAGAAAATGAATATACTTCATTTTTAATATGAAAATAATAAAAATATATAATTAATTTTTATTAATAATTACTTAAAAATAAAACTTACCTTTTTCAAAATGTTCTGAATAAAGCTGAGATAATTCTGAAGGATTATCTTTTTCAGCCTAAATATATATTTAGAAAATATTAAATATTAAAATTAATTTTATTGACATTTTAAAATATTTTTCAACTGTTAAATATCTTAAATTTTATTATTATAATTTTATTTTTTAATTTACACTGTTTTCTTGTTTCTTAAATATGGAAATATGGAGAAAATTAATTTAGTCATAGATTAAGAGAGAGTAATTAAAACACCATCTATTGTACTTTTTTAAGGTTAATATCTGCTAAATTCTGAACATATTAAATTAAATTTTCTTATGTTCTTTTATTCGTATAATCGATATGGATTTATTGACCAGTGTTGAGTAAAGTTCAAGGAAAAATTTTAAAATTGATTAATTAGACAAGTATTTTCATATGGGGAGTTTTATGGCGTAAAAATTTTTAAAATCAAATATTACTACATCATTTTTGCAATTAAAAACCCATAATTATGCAAAAGAAACTAAATAGTTTGCGAAATTAACAGAATACTTTGCAAAACAGCGAAGTACTGTACTTAAAAGTCTTCGCTAAAATTGTTTTGTTTCACAGAATTCTTTAAAAAATTAATGGAAAGAATGTATAAATAGGATTTAAGAATTGTTGGAATGGATTTCCATCTTAACAGGTTACTTAAAAATCGTTAATGTTTAAATTAAAAGAAGGTTCTTAAAAACGCGAAGATGTTTTATATGAATAAAACTTGTTAAATTTAATGCCTAAAAATCACTTAATTTCTCGTCTTATTTACTTTACAGGTTTTACAAAATTAAAACCTTTTTAGTAAGCCATTTAAACATAATACTTATATAATATTCTTACTCGTTTGGGTGGGTATGGTATGTCGTACGTATAACCAATCCTTGTATTTCCAAATGTTTCCAGATGTCCTCGTTTTCCCGGTATGGAACTGTGATCTCGAGAACACACTGACACTCTACTCATAGCATAAGGTTCTGGAAAATATACTGGCTCTTGAGTACTATCATATGTTATAGATAATGGAACATTTTCATGTTTAGTTGGTTCATTACTATCGGCACCTAACGAAAAATCTTCATTAAATTTAAGTAATTTATAATTAAATTTATAAAATTTTCATACCTTCTGGAGTATGAGGACGCGGTTCGGAATTCCTTCGGCGCGTTATCACGCAAACAACTATTAGTACAACAATTAAGACAATTAGAGAGCTGACAATCGGAACGGTTACAGTTAAATGGCGATAAAACATAGCTGTAACATCATTAGCCTCTGCTGGACGTGGAGGTTGTTCTAGTGTACAAGAGAAACAATTATAAAGAAAAAAATAATGAAGACTTAATTAAAGAATATAACGATTAAAGTTTCAAACCTCCTGTTAAAGTCAACGTTGCAAAAACATATTCTGCATCAGTGGAGCCTGCTTCGTTATGCGATGTCATGAGTAAAGTATACCACGTTCCCGGACTCAGATCTGTAATGGTTATTTCTTGTTGATCCGGAATAATGTTGTTAGACACCAAAGTCCACTCCTGTTGTCCCTGAGGTTTGTACTGAACCACGAAAAACGTAATCGGACAACCTCCATTGCGCCAAGAATTAAGATGTAATAAAACTGTTGTCGAATTTACGGACAGCAAATACGACTTTTCTGGTGCAATTGGAGCTAAAAGAAAGTAATAAGACTTTCTAAGAAAGTGGGACACGGCTAAATTGATGATCAACTTAACCACTCTTTTAGCACTTAAGTATATTAAACCGTTTCTTTTTCCCTCCTCATAAAAGTTGAAAATTAACTTCTTAATTATTTATTGATATTGTTTACTTTTTAATAAATACTCTTAAATAAATAAATATAACAATATCAATAATACAGTAAATCTTTTGAGGTAATTTCTTCCTTAATGGCTTTTAATAATAAGATTATAACTTATATTTAAAAGAAGGTAGAACATTTAGATTTAAAAAAAAATTATATAATCAAATTATGCATTATGTTGAGCTTAATATATAAAAACAAAATTTAATATTTTTTCTTAATTCAATTTCTTACAATTTCCATCTGTTTTGGCTGAAATCATTTCACTTGGTTCGCTATTTCCAGCGCTGTTATAAGCGAGGAGATAAAAGTAATAAAGAGTTCCGCAGTCTAAATCGTGAACGGAATGATCCCTTCTGTCTGCAATTATGCGAGTTTCTCTCCATCGATTGCCATCCTTTCTATAGTGAAGAACATAACCTAAAAGTAATGTATTGTTGTTAAATTCTTTTATAAAGTCAGTAATCTATTATCGTGTTACAGAAAATGACGAAAGCAAAAGTGTATTATAAAATAAAGAAAAAATCCATGAACTATCTTAAAGAAATTTCATCAAATAATGATTTAAAGCTGTTTACTTTAAATATTTATAATTTTAAATTATATCTTTTAATTTTGTGAATAAAAATATATAAAGAATTTCTTTAATTTAAAACATGTCATATATATTTTTTTCTTTTTCGTAAACATGAACTTGAATAATACGTTTCTTTAAAGAAATTTTTGTACCGAGCAAAGGAGCAGAAGGAGTAAGAGTTATGTCCCAAGTTAGTTTGATTGATGTTGATGTTGTAAAGAATTTTTTCATAATTGGTGCCGTTGGTCGATCTGTAAAATAACAACAAAAACTCGACTTAAATGTATATAGTATTATAATGATTTTGAAATTCTCTTGATAAAAAAACAAATTATCTTAATGATGCATTACCATATTCGAGAGTTCTAACGATGACTTCGTCAGATGCAGGTCCAGCTCCTCTGCTATTGAATGCTTGTACTATGATGCTGTAATCAGTAAAACGTGCCAATCCTGATAACTGAAACTCTTGCTTCTGATTTGGTATAGTTTCTACAGTTTTATACGTATACAATTCATCTCCCTTCAGTTTGTAGCCGACATAATAACCCGTTATTGAATCCGAAGCGACTTCTGGCCTCTAAAAAAAGTGATGTATTATAAATAATTGCATAGAACATGTCATCCTAATTAATTTCCTGATACTGACCTCCCACGATATATTTACAACTTGTGAAGAATGTGCCATAGCCTTGACTGAACCCGGGGCTTTACTAGGAGCTACGAACGAAAACTTTTTCCGTTATACAAATATAAATATTTAAAATGAATAAAAATACATCGGTTAGTGAAATGATGCAATAACTCACGTTCCTCTAAAGTTGTTGCTAGAACAGGTATACTTGCAGCACTTTTCCCTAAGGCGTTCAATGCTCGAATGCTAACTGAATAGGTAGTTTGGGAATTTAACCCGCGAATTGTTGCAGTATTTTCACTTCCTGATACAGATAGATGATTTTCCTTGCTTTGTTTCCACATATCTATTGTATACACGAATATTTGACTTTCGATAAGTAAATTGTTTTTTCTTTAATAAAATGAAAAATGGGTTATTGTTAAAATATCTTTATTGAGTTTTTCATACGTTTTTCTCAATTGAAAAAGATAAAAAATATACCTCAGCAATTTTAACAATGCCAATGGAAACAATTTTAGTAATGTTACTAGTAAGAGAATAAATGTGTTGCTTTCATATTAAACGAAGAGCATCATGTTAATGTTATCTTTATTAGTTTACGGACATTTATAGCTTAAAGCTACTATCAATTTTATTATATAAACTTATATTTAATGAAAACAGATTATATGAATGTTGCCAAATCTCTTATAGTACGAACTGTATCTTGTCTCAAAAGCTGCTATGCATTACTCATCTTTTAATATGATATCTTGGTAGATATTTCACTAAAATGCGCTTCCATTAAAGTTAAATAGATTTAAATTATAGTTTAAAACTAGAAATATGCTATGGTTAATATTAATAAAAATATCTGTAGATTTCAAGAATTATCAATAATCGTAATTTAATATCTCTCCAGAGAACGGTTGACTTCTTCATCTCCATTATCTAATAGAAATTTGATTAAAATGTCTCAATAAAGTAGCAACAGAGAATTTTTGTCAGTAAATTTTCTTTTTTACTAAATACTTTATTTCGAGATGGAAACGTCAGGTAATGGATGATATTGCAATCAGTATGACCCATTTTTGATGAAGGATGAATTATGCAGATTACACTGTATGAATTATGTATTTATGAGAATAAGAAAGAATCACAAATTGACTAAATTGTGTTACTTAGATGAACAAAGTAAATATTTCAAAGTTATTGATCTTCTCGTAGATAGTCTATATCTTATTTATTGATAGATTCTGATTAAAGAATAACAGGAGAAACTCATCTCTGCATACGAGTATCATCGATTCTTGATCAAACAAATTACTTGAATAAAATTTATAATATTTTGTGCTTATTATACGATTAAAAGTCGTTTTTCTGAGAAAATTAAGCCATTCTAGAAGCACAAATTTATTTAATAATTAACGCAAAACATCAAGCGAAGTAACAAGTTTAGATTATCCTCATTCGAAACACATTATATTACGTAAAAAACGAGTTTTTTCATAATAAAAATTATATTGATACCCTTAATCTTATCAGTAATGCACAAGAAAATTTTTAATTTTTATGCTAATTATCGCATCTAAAATTGAAAATATAATTAATCTCTTTTTTATTCAGTTTTTTAAACTTGTATCGACTATAGAAATGATCATTAATTTAAATGCTATTTAAACATTACACCATTATCAATTTAATTTATATACCGAGTAAAATAGAAAAGTTAACCTTACTTAAATATTTAGAAAAATATGTTCTGTTAATTAATATTTTAAAAATTAAAATTAGAGAATAAGAATGTAATTATTTTAAGCAATTTTTATGTAACTAATGTTTTGACTTTACAGCATTATACCTTCAGAAGGAATCCACGATATAATATATTCTGTAATAGGAGAATTTCCGGTATATTTTTGGCTCCATGATAATCTAACGCTCCTGCTAGTGACTTCATTAATTTCTATATTTTGTGGAGGATCAGGTACATCTAAAATAAGTAAAGACGAACTTTAAGTGAAAAATTTTTTCGCTGAAAGTAAAGAAAATATACTTAAGTATATTTATGCTAATATAGTTGCTGAGAATGACTTCGCGAGAAAACCAATATCGTCTTGCACATCCATCATCATTATCATCATCATCATTTATCTTCGGTGCAGCTGCAATTCGATATGGGTTAGATGCGTTTAGGTAATCTTTCTGCTAATGCTCTATCTTTTTGAAAAATCTTAATTTTTTTTTTCTACTGTTTCTTTTCTTCCAACATATAAACTTATTATTTTATTTTAGATGAGAATAACCTTTTTAAGGTTTAAAGAATTATTTACAGATTTAGAAAAAAAATTACCTTGTATTGTTAGCTGTATATTCGCAGTATCTTCACCGTATTGGTTTCTAGCTGTACAGGTTAACATGGCCGAATCATCTCTTTCAACCGATGCTATGATGATTTTAGACATTGCTTTTTTATCTTCTTCGAACGTTTCGTATAAATATCTAAATGCATTTAGAAAAAAACTGTTTACAAGTTTTTCCATAGATTCAAATAATTATTACTTCATAAAACTAAAATAAAAAATAGTTATTAAAATAAAGTTAACAAATTTATTTAATTAAACTATTATAGCTGACTTCTTAAACAACTTTGGTCGTTTAAAAAATGCGTAATTACGGAGGAAAAAACAACGAAACACAAATTACATAAAACCACAAATTATAGAATTTAACTAAACAAACGTTTTCTTTTTTTTTAATTTGTTGATCAAACCTCTCATTATCTACAAAACATTTTTAAAGTTAATTACCTGGCTTCCGAAGCGGGATCAAATCGGATACCATTTCTTCTCCACAGGAATACTACTGGCAAATCTCCATCAGCATTACATTCGATTTCAGCTCTTTCCCCTTTTTTAAAATTCTTCTCCAAAAACTTGGTCTCAAACCTCGGTATGCCTTTGAGGTAGATATAGAAGAAATGAAGATTTCCAAGTTTGGAAGGTTTCTGTAGAATTTTAATGTACATACTTGATCGAATGAAAGTTTTCTATGGAGGGAACCTGATGCTATATAGAAAACAATACAGGGTTGGATCATTGCCAACCGATCGATTCAATCTTGTTAGCAATTCTTTCCCTGTTCTAGATAGAAGAGAGTGCGCGTGTTTGTTTCGATAAAAAAATCCCGAACCAAAAAGAAAAAAAAAACAATATTTATTCTAACAGATAATTATCCTTTCTTATTTATAAACAACCGAAAGATTTATAAACTCGTAAAAGCCGTTAAATAAATTCGGATTTTAAAATAGATCGAAACATTCTTCATTATTCCGTATACACAAAATCGATAGTTTGTAAAGTTCTTCAATCAATTTGAATAGAAATTTTCTCTACACAAACGAGACTATTGATGAATATACTCCCCATACAGGATTACAATCGGAATTTTAAGTTTTTAACCTCATTTCATTAGAAGTTTGTTTTATTTTTAGTGTTGTAAAAGTTAGAAGCAATACTTACTGTGAACTGTAAATCTAATAATGCTACTGATCCCACTTCCTACTCCATTATTGGCTTCGCAAACATATAAACCTCCATCGTTTTCTTCAACACTTCTAATATTCAAAGAACCATTCACTAAAATGTGAATATGAGAACTACTTATGATTGTACGATATTCTACTGGTTGGTTACCTTTATATATATAAAGAAATAATGGTTTTAGTTTAGTAGGATTTTATTAAATTTAATTCGATGTTATGGTGTTTTTTGTAATCCAGTTCTGTTCTCACCTGTGGCTACTTTCCAGCGAACGTGTGGCTGTGGTACACCACTAGCTTGACAATTGATCATTGCAGATTTACCGACTACTGCTGAAGTATCTTTAGGTTGCAAGAGCCATCGAGGTGGAACTAAATAAGATGGAGAGGTGAGAAAAATGTCAAAAGACTTCTTACAAGTAATTAATTTTTCTATAAAAACTGACAATGCTTCAATCATTTTATAAAAGTTACTTTAAAAAATATATTTTTATATATAAAAATATATTATATACTCAATATATTAATGATTAATTAATAATTTCAGATAAGTTTTTAAGGAATAAAAATAGTTGGATTTATTTGTAGAAGTTTAATAGCAAAAAAAAAAAAGAAAAGAAAAAAAAAACGTTAGTGGAAACGTTTTTAAGGTATTTTGTTTTAAAAAATATTTGTAATTTAAAAGAAAAATAAGCTATAAATATATATTGAATGCTTTCAAAATATAAAATTTTTATAGATAAAATACAAGAAAAATAAATAAAGTAGTTTCTTATCAAACTATAGTTATTTTTCAATATAAAATTCATAATGTTTCATAAAAAATTACTTTAGAAAAAAAGCTATTACAGAAATATTTTTGATTGGACTATTTAAATTACAAATAACCAATGAGAGAAAGAGACGTTATTTTTTATTACGCTCTCGTGTAATTTGTCTATTTAAATTTAAATGAACCAATAAATGAGACAGAGTTTATTTTTAAACTGAAACTTCTATTTAATTGGCCAATTGAAATTTAAATTAACAAAAGAAAAACCTTCGTCATTAAAGAGAGATTGTTTAACAAAAGAAAAGTAAGAAATCGGATTTGAATTTTAACAAGATAATAACAATCAAAAAAATAAATTTCAACATATAAAATTTCTTAAAATATATTTTTTTGAAAAATTTATATAAATTTTATCTGATAAATAAAGTACTAACTAACCTTTAACTGTGAGTTTAGCGCTGTACGAATCAGAAGCTAAATCATTTGTTGCTACACATGTATAATTTCCATTATGAAGATAAGCAAGTTTTTTAATAGTCAGTGTCGATACAAAACCACCCTCGCCGTAAATTATAGAAGCATTTAACTTTTCTTCTGAAAGGAGTCGGCTATCTTTCATCCATTTAATTATGAGAGGCCCATCACCGGCAACCACAATACACGTTACTGCAGTTCTCATTCCTTCATGAAGTTCATCTTGAAATGTAAACGGTGCTATCTTTGGACCACCTAAATGTAAAGAGTATAGATGTTTATATAAGCAGGACGAACAAACAGAAGTATTTAGAATGTTATTCCCTATAGGAAAGCCGAATGTAGATAGCTTTGAAAAATACATGCTAACTTTAATGTCGGTGGCCGTAGGCAACGTTTTTGGTATTTTCAGATTTGTAATTCGATAGATTTAAGATGCTGGATGCATAGAATAGGTGATAAGATTTATTACTTGTCTTGGTTGAGTGTGAAACCGATATGGTTAGGGAAATTACAGGAAAGGAATGGATGGTTAGGTCACAAATCAAATTTAAAGATTTTTGTCCATAGGCGATAAAAATTGAATGTCTTATGGTCAATTTAATCTTACGAACATCGTTTTCACTATTGAAATATCTCATTTTTAATTTTAAAATGCATTCTATATGAATTCCTATACTTTGAATGAATTGCCTTTTTTTATTCTTTACTTACTGCCTCTTTCAAATTAATTCACTTTTTACCCTTTCACGCCCTTTTCTTTTTTTATTATTTTTCAAAGAAAATCGTTTGTAATTTAAATTAAAAATTAATGAGATGCTATCTTTACTAAATTAAGAAAATATAATTTTAAAAGTTTTCACATTTCTCATCTAGAAAACGAATTTCAACTTAAAATGAAACTCAAGACGATTTTTGGTCATTAATCAGCTATCGTTAAGGATCCTGCCACTTACTTCTGACGATAAGTCGAAAGGTTCTTTCAGCAGAGTTTCTTTGGTCATTGGATACCTCACAGCTGTATCTTCCCTGATCACGTGATACGTCCACATCAGCAATCACAAGGGTCCCATTAGGAAATACCCGCTGATGTTGACCAATGGGGAGAGTTAAAGTCTCTAAAACATCAGAAAATAATTATTTTCAAGAAATACTTCGTTTAATATATATACACATTACATAAGTAAGATTATAAGAAATTTACAATAAGCTTTTTTTCTCAAATTGTGATCATTCGTAAAAAAGAAGAAGGAAAATAAAAAAGCAATTTCCCTAGATTGCGTGTGATTGAATTTTTTTCTCCTTACTTGTAAACAGTAGGTTTGTAATAAAGGCTATAGCACCTGGAGGAATTTAATACCTGTGACTAAATCATATCTAAGACAAGTTTCCCTCAATTGTATCTTATCATCCGGAAGAAGTACTTGAGTTATAATGCGTAACAAAATGCTGATGTTGCAGAGTTAAGTGTATAGCTATCCCAGGAGGGTTAACCAACTTTACCAAATCGTTGTAGATAGATTAAAATAAAACGTGATCCTGAATTTTAAATACTTACCATTCGAGGATATTTAGTATTTAAGTCATGACATTTAACAGAGTGTATAACTTATCCTTCCTATCAATTATAATATGACAGAATTTAAGTAAAGATAGGAATACATTAATAAATAATTGATTCGTAATTAATAAGAGGAATTTAGTGCTTTATGGCTTTATATCAGTTATGTTCAATAAATATCATTTATTTTATATTTTACATAATCTTGTGTTTATAAATATACAATTTTAATAACCCTCCCTTGTTGTGGATGTTTATATTTATGTATACAATTTTATATGTAATTATATTTATAATATATATATATATTTATAAATTTAAAAGAAAGAGTTTATGCTATCGTCTATGAAAGCCTATATAAAAATGTTGGACCGTATGGGAATTTTTTAAAAGCATATCTTTGTCAACCTATTCGCTTTAAAAGCCTAGTAACTACTACATCGATCTGAAACATTTTTGAACACATGTTAGATAGGGACAATTCGATTTTGAAACCTTTTATCAAAAGTTCGCCTATATGAATGGGAAAAATATTAGTAGTTCGTTCATTTTTTAAAGTACTTTTAAACTTTATATTTGTGAAATAAAAATTATAATATAAAACAAAACGTATATTTATGATAAATGAATTCCAGTTATAGTCATTAGTTGGCGTAATAGCAGTTCAGGAGTTCAGGAGTTGTTCTTATATAGTTTTTAGATCGTTTAACAAATTTTATCCTTTAATCATTTTACATATTGCCTGAAGCTGAAAATCTGATACCTTAGAAAATAATTTAAACAACGATAATCAATATTTAACTATAGAATAAAGTAATATAAATTGTTGCGATCATCATCGACAATCCGTTTCAAATTAGATAGCAAATACTGTATAAGCTTTCACAGGAATAAAAATTGATTAAAAAGAAAAACATGTCTGCTTTTAACAATATATTTAAAGCAAGTAATGAAAAATCTTTCTGAATTGATTGGAAAATGTTAAGACAATTTCTTTCTTTAGTATCGAGATACTTTCTATTTAAGTTAAAGATTTAAGTTCCTATCACATTGATGTAATTTTTCTTCAAAGATTCAATTTACTTTGGTGTGTATTGGCACATTTACTACGTCTTGTGACAAGGCACCTCTGTTAAGAGTATTACCTGCAATTGGCTGACAAGGCATTTTTCACTTAAAGCAATGTTCTGCTCGTAAACCTTCGTTTTCTTCATTTACATTTACATTGGTTCGGAATAAAAATTATCATAGTGGGATATGAATAATATATTAAAAAACAATAAGTTAGTAATATTCCATGAGATAAAATTAAAATTTTTATATTAAAAAATTTACAATAATAATAAATTGTTTTAGAGTTTGATTTTGAATTAATTAAATTTTTCAGATTTAATCTCCCTTATTTCTTTTTTAATTTATGTGAAATAAATCAAATTTTTTTATATTATATGGATACATTTATTAATATAAAATAACATTTTCTTTAATAATATATACGTATACATATAAATTAATTTTGAAAATAAGAAAAGATGTACTGTATATTAATTATTACACTAACATTTTATCTTTAGAAAAATAAATATACAGTATAGATGGTTAGAATTTTATTTTATTTTTATATTTATAATAATTAAATACTAGTTTTTTTAAAAGCAGAATTTAAATAAATAAAATATTTTATAAATTTTTAAATTTCCTTAATTAGTTATTTTTACATTTTTTTATAATTACATATACAAAATGTATATTGTTCTAAATTAATAATTAATAAATGGCAAATTATTTTATTGTAAATATTTTCAAGTCTTAATTTCAAATTTTAAATTATTTTAACATAAAAACAGGATGTTAATCATCATTAATTCAAAATTAAATCATTTTAAATTTTAATAATTTTTCCCTTAAATTTTCCAGTTGATTAATTGTTGTATAATTAATAAATAATTTACGATAAATAGGGGAGATCGGGGCAAGATCGGCATGTTAAGCTTTACTTAAATTTTGTGTAATAAATACTGCTGTAAACTGAAAAAAAAGCTTTGCATATTGTCTATTGGAATGTTACCTTACTATAGAACTGGTTAAAATCAGTTTGGAAATAAAAATAATTAAAATAATTACAACTTTACAAGAAGAGAGAAATTGACGAAGTTGCCCCGGGTATAGGGGCAAGATCGGCAACTTCTCTCTTTTTGTAAAGTTGTAANTCTTTATTACCGATTTAATATTTTTAAATTACAAGACTCCCCGTCATACCATTAGACAATAACCCTGGCAGTATGTGTATATGGACACCAGTGGAATGACAGTGCAATTTAGATTTTATCACCCAACCGCCAACTCGATGTCTGGGCTAAATTGGATTTTATAAGAGACTTTACTACAACAACGTCGAGCTAGAATAGAGGTTTATCCTAAAAACCGGATTCAATAATCGAATCCTAGCACACCAACTCGGTTATCCTATTATCGTAATCTGCTGCTTGGCAGAACCTAAAGATCATTCATACTTTAAACAATATAGAGTATTGTTTCTTCTGTGTAAAAATAGATAAAAGACACTTGTACCCATAGAATATATCCTTTAAAATAATCGTATATTGTATATATATTATAAATATGCTACTGTTAGATATAACTTAAATGATATTTACTACCAACTTTAATGCTTTCTTCTTAGATTGGATGATACGAGGATCGCTTGGCTTTATATTTTCGTAAGTAAAGATAGAAATACACTCAGTGTCTTTAGATTCTAAAGGCGAGAAAATAGATAGGTTTGTAAGTCCCATAGGTGATTTATCTTTTGTGATTGATTAGCAGCCAAAGAGAAAAATTGTCTCAAGCCCAACAATCACACCATTTGTTGGAAAACCGGATAGTTCACCTGTCCACAAATCCAATCTACTGGTATCTGGAGAAAAAGAGAGTTTGAATATAACATGTGGAAATAGTATACTTGTCATTGATAAATGTATGATAGAAATTACCTCTTCATTCTATTCTACCACATCGTTGGCTACTGATAGTGACCTGATTGGATTACATACCACGTTTGGCTTACTATCTATAACATAACTATTAATTTGAAAGCATCGATTGAAGCGTGGATAAATCTGATTTATTAATATTTATCGCGGTTCTAACCGTTAAATTAATAATTCTACATAATTTCTTACTCGGTCGTTGGAAGGAAAACCATTTTTGAAAAATTGCAAACGTGTAATTTATTACAAGAAAGAAAAAAGTATACAAATAATTTCGAAACATAAAGGATAAATGGCATCTAATTTAAATTTTAACTGTGCAGAAGAGAATATCGATTAAAACATTTCGGGATATTATTTATAACCGGAAAAAAGTGTAATTAAACTCACTGTACAAAACTGTATATAAATTGACTGGAGATGAACTCAGTAATACTCCAAAGAACAAAAAGTAATAATTATTATGATAAGGCAGACGTGTGAATATAGGAACCGCCCTATCATAGATCTCCTTTATATGTCCCTAGGGTTATTACACACATTGTTCTGATAACGATTTGCTGTTACAAGAATAGTCCGTAAACATCTGTGACAAGAATGCAGCTGGTACTTAATTTATAAACGTTATCCTATAAAAATTTCATATTTCTTTTTTTTTCGCTTCTTAATATCCTTCCATCTTCAATATTTATCTAGCGATTTTAAAGCTTATTGAGCGATTTCGTGGACGATTTAACGTTAAAATTCCTGAAGTAACACACTCGTTCAAGCATTGAACAGTTTAGAGCAAGCTGCAGCACATCTTGATAAATATATATAATTTATGTAACATATACTATATGCATGCGCAATATAAGTGCAATCAATAATAGGCTATATATGTGTATGTTTGTGCAATATATTAGTCTAGACAAATATATATAAGTTATATAAACACTGTATACACATTAAATTATATTATAATATGTATGATGCAGTATAAATATATAATATTATATACCGTAAATAAATATATATACATACATAATATTATACTGTATATTTATGGAAGCGTTTTTAAAATCTTCAAATTGAATTTTATAACTTATTAAAAGCATAGAAATACTTAAATAACATCTTTACATTTATTTAAACATTTATGAATCTCAAAAAAGTATAAAAAATTCTTTATAGTCTATCTAACTCCAAATATCTAAAAAATAACAAAACTTTAACGACTTTATTTTCTCAAACATACAAGTTCTCACACCTACATCAGAGTCTATAGAGACTACTCAAGTAGTCTCAAGTAGTCTCATATTTATTCTTACTTTTTTAGTTAAAGAGGTCGACTAAAGTAAGAATTTACTAAATATTTATTTTGAAGTTATAAATATATAATTTGAGATTAAAAATATAAAGATATTTGATGTTATGTAAACAGCATTAAATTTTTAATAAGGATTATATCAGTAAAATTATTATTAAAAATTTATGGCTATTTCCTTTAAGAATTTTCTATAACTATCAGAACTTTTATAATCTTTATAAATTGATTAAAGAAAAATTATAGGTGTAAACCTATATA